CTCGCGGCACTGCCAAAAAAAGTCGCAGTGGCAGTAACAAAAGAGGCGAGTTTGGCGTGGACACTGGTAGTGGAAGTGATAATGGCAGTGGTCATAATGGCGGTAACGGTAGCGGTAGTGATAGCGTTGGTGAAGGCGGTAATGTATATGCCAACGGCAATATCAAATAGTGACAGTGGCAACAAGATTGATGCTCGTACGTAAGCTCCCTTTCTACGCAGGAGCGCGGTTCACGGGCCCGTGGCTTAAAAACATCTGGGGGGTGAAACTGATGGACCCCCCCGAAAAAAAAATAATCGGGGTGCCCTCCCCACCCAACCCCTCCCAAAAGAAAACATGCCCCTCCCTGGCAGAGCACGGGAGAGGTTCTGGAACGGGAGGACCTCAAGGAGCGGCGGATATGATGTTTCTCACCCGCAGGGGCAAGCAGATAACCGTACCCTCCCCTCGTCGAGGACCTGAAGCGCGACTCGGAAGCGTTGGCTACGGATGCATACACACACACGTATTTTTACATCTACGAATAAGCATCGATATGTGCGTAAACCTGAATATACACACATAAACGTGCATACGCAGGTATATCTAGGAGGAGAAACATCTTTCTATATATATATATATAACTATATATATATATATATATATATATATATATATATATATATACGTATGTACATATATGAGTGTGTAAAGCTAAATGTTTATTATATCTGTGTAAACAAAAAACTGCTCTGGCGCTTCGCGCCATGCACCTTTGTCCTTATAATGCTTGGCATGCAGGAGGAAGGGCAGGACTGGAACTTTAGCGGTACCTCCTTGTTGCCTCTTTTGTCCGACATCGTCGTCGACAATAATGTAATTCATGATCCTTCCCTCTTCCTCATTCTCGCCCTACCTGCGAATTTGTCCCCATCCTCCTTAACTCTTTTGCGGGGCCTCCTCCTTGGAAATTCTTTTGGGGGCCTCACGAAAGTGTGTAAAGACTATTTGGGGCCTTCTAGGGGTCTTCTGGGTTCCTTCTGGGGCCCTCTGGGAGCTTCTTGGGGCCATCCTGCTTCCAACCGCGGTTTCCCTGAACGACCAGGTCACGACTTGGAATACTTCGGGGGGCGTCTTGGGGCCGTCTTGGGCCGTCATGGGGCTCTCTTCGGGCCATCTTGGGGCCCTGTTGGGTCGTCTTGGGGCAATTTTGGATTGCCTGGAAGCCCCTTTTGAATAGTTTTGGAACGATGTTCTGGCATCCTTGGCGCACGCCCGGCAGACCGAGGAACAGAACATTCCCGAAATCATACAAAAACCAATGGAAGTCAATGTTTTCTTGCGTTTCGAATGCCTCTTGAGGGGTTCTTGTTTGGGCCGCTTCGGGCGTCTGGTGGGTGTCGGGAGCCCCTTCGGGCTCTCGCGAAGCCGCGGGGCCGTCCGGCCGCCCTCCTGACCGATTTAGGTCCAGTGCCTAAACCCAGCAGGTGCTTCCAGAAGCTCCAGAAAGCCCAGGGCACCTTCTGCAGGAGCGTCGAAGGGACCCCCGAGGCCACTGATGCGGAAGGTCCCGTTTTCTGGGGGGGGGCGCCCCCGATTGCAAAATAGTAGTAAAGGAATATAGTTGTGCTCGCTCCCCTCCCCCCATGACATGATCATACGTATCAGTCGTAGTCTTCTTCTCAATACCGTACTATTACTCAGCGTACGACTATTGTGGTGACTGTTACCCTTCTTAGTTTTACTACCATCATGTTCATTATTGGTCTTACTGACAGCAGTTCGTAATTTTAGCATCAGTCATATTAGTAACACTAGTGAGTATAATATTACTGCTGTTAGTATACATCGTAGCACTACTATGATCACTAATGACATTCATAGCGATACGATTATTGCGATCATGAGCACTAAAAACAAGTTGATAGTGTTATTTCTGAAAATAATATCATTATTCATCTTATTGCGAATAGTTATGCTTCAGCGTTCTTTCTTTGGCGTCCTCCTCATCATTTTCCTCGCCTGTGTTTGCCCCTCGTGGTCATTCCCCCCATGAGGAGAATGAGGAGGAGAAGGAGGAAGAGAAGGAGGAGGGAGAGGAGGAGGACAAGGACGAGGACGAGGAGGAGGTGGAGGACGAGGACGAGGACGACGATAACAAGGGGGAGGAGGAGGAGGAGGAGGAGGAGGAGGACGAAAAGGAGGAGGAGGAGGAGGAAGAGGAAGGGAAGGATCAGGATGAGCGGGGTCGTTTTCTACCTCATTTGTCTTTGGCGTCATCCTCATAATTGTCTTCGCCTGCTGCTGCTGCTGTTGATCCGTCCTCTGATGTGGAAAAGGAAAATAAACAATGAGGTGAAGGAGGGATCCCTATTGAATTCGGATCGTAGTATACCACGAGTTCAATAGAAGCGGAACACATCCCAGAACCAGAGGATTCTGACTCAATCCCACCAGCCCTTTAGGGCGTAGGTGGTTTATGGCGTTTCCTCTTCCATCCCTCCTTTTTCCTCTTCTGGGAAAGGTTTATCACTGTTCCCTATTAATAAACACCCCCTTCCCACCCGGCCGGCAGCCAACCCGGAACCGTGCGCACACCATGAGGGCACCCCCCCTACCATCCCTGCCAAGAAACAATACAAAATGCACATTGCGGGGCCCACCCTGCCCACACCCTCCACAATCCCTGCAAAAAAAACAATACGAAGCGCACATTGCAGCAAAATCTGGACAGTGCGCTGGCGCCCTGTGAGCACGTTGTATTGTTTTTTGAAAGAGATGGCGGAGCATTCTTAATGAAGCCGCTTTGCGCAGGACCACCATCCGTGTCAAAAATAATGCAAAGTGCACGTTGCGATGACGTCTTAGGCGTTGTGCTGGCCACCCGCGATCACTCTGTATTGTTTTTTGACAGGGACGGCGGTGGTGCCCGCAAGATGATGCTTGCTGTGCGCAGGCCTAGAACAATGCTGACGCCCCCCACATCAGCATCTGGACCATGCGGACGGGGGAGCATCAGGTTTTTTACAAAGATGGCACACCAACCGCATGTGGAGCCCGCGGCGAGCGTCGCGCACCTGGCGTCCGCTTTGGTTCCCATTGGCTGTCCATCCAGTGGCGACCCCTGGCTATGCCGAGACTCGGATGCCACTTCTGTGGTGGGAGGGCGGGTGGGAGTCAGCTAGACGGCTTGCGTGCGGAGAAGGTGTCTTGACCCCTCCCCCTGCCCCCTCCCCTGGGCCTGGACGGGGGGGTCCGCGGGCAGTTGGAGCGCCCAGAACGGCCTCGGCAAGGAAGCCACAATCACTGGTTGTACCAAGGTGTTGGCCCCACTTTGGCCTCCTGAAGGGGGGACCCTAATTAAGGAAACCCCCTTCTTTGATCGATCTCCTCCGAGATGGCCCCAAGAGCGCTCCCAAGGCTCCCAAGGGTGCCCCAAGAGGGCCTCAAAAGGTGGCCAGGAGGCCCCAAGAGGCCCCCAAGAGGCCCCCAGGATGCCCCCAAGAGGCTCCAAAGAGATCCCCAAGAGGCCGCCCCAAGGGGCCCCCCAGAGGCACCCAAGACGCTCCAGGAGGCCTCGGCGAGAATGCCAAAATCATTGATGTTACTAAGGTTTTGGGACACATGTTGGCCCCATGGGGGAGGGGGGGCACTGATTAAGATTACTCCAAGAGCGCCTGGGAAAGCCCAAGATGACCTCCAAGATGGCTCAAGACATCCCAACATGCCCCAAGATGGCTCCCACGATGCTCCAAGAGGCCCCAAGACCGCTCCAAGACGGCTCCAAGTGGCCAAAGAGCTCCCCCATGGATGCCCCGAAGAGGCCAAATTCCTTCCAAAACCTTCGGCGAATCAATGCGTTTGGCTTTGGCTTTCTCGCCTTTTCGTTTCCGATGGAAATCCGAAGCCTCAAGATGGCTCCAAGATGGTCCAAGAGGGCCCTTAGTGAGGCTCAAGAGCGCTCCAAGACGGCCCCAAAAGCGCCCCAAGAGGCGACTGCTTGGGTTCCCGAGGGGCAACGCTAATTAATGTTCCCCTCTTGATTGATCGATGTCCTCCAAGATGGTCCAAGGAGCGCCCCCAAGGCTCCCAAGAGCGTTTCAAGAGGGCCCCAAGAGGCGCCCAGGAGGCGCCCAAGAGGACTCCAAGAGGCTCCCAAGAGACCCCTAAGAGGCCCCAAGAAGCTCTCCGAGGCACCTAAGACGCTCTAAGAGGCGTCCGGGACCGCCAAGAGGTCCCCAAGACGCTCCAAGAGGCCTCCACTGGGGGACCCTTTCCCCTGTGTGCTGCCCACTTCACTGATCGAGGCACTTCCTCTGGGTATCGCTTCTGGATGGGCTGGTGGGGTTACTTTTTGGTACGCGGGCGCGCGAAGACAAGTCAAACGCCGAGCAAGCTGGGGCGGGCCGCGCCGTAGCAAAGGAAAAACAGCGAAGCGAACAGCGCCAGTCACAGAGCGGAACTACGACGCAGCAGCTGCTGGTGGGGTTACTTTTTTTTGGTCGCGGCCGCGCGAGAGGCAAAGTCTTGGGCAAGCGGCACGATGCGAATTTGCGAACACCGCCGCCACGTTGGCAAGCCGGTTCGCACCTGCACAACAAGCGCGCAGTTGCACATGCACAGAACAAAATGAACTAAATTCACAAGCAAACGCACATAGGCGCCGCAGTGTGAACCGAAGTGGACAGGAGGCAGAGTGCGCGAATGCAGCGGAGTGAGTCGCCGGCACGGCGCCAAACCCCAGGCCACCAGCCCGGCTGGTTGGGAAACATGGACCAGGGAAACCGGGCAGAGGGCGGGGGAAAACACGAGGCAACGCGAGCGCGGAAGGCCGAACCACTCGACGCTCAGTCCTCAATATCCTCCGCCCAGCTGGGGGTGGCCAGCGGCAACCAAAGCGCATCGAGTCCGGCGCCTGCGGCGGATAGGCCCGAGGGTGGACGAGACGATGCGCGGGAGAAACCACAGGCTGTCCGGTGGCTGCAACACTCAGAGCAAGGCCCTCCGGAGCACAACTCCCA